CCGAAAGCGATGTCTGTTATGTGACTGTTAGTGGATCATTTTCTTAGTAGAGTGATTAAAAATTACAATCCACCTAAATATTACGTTTGAAGAATGTTTAATCGAATTAACCTTATTTTGAATATGAATTGCGAAATTACGGATGTTAGAATTTTGACCTATTTAGCAAACTTAATACAGTTATTTTGCCTTAAGGTTACGATGAACTTTAAGAGAATTTCGTTGTTTCCTTTCTTTATCATTTATTTTTTTATAATTTCTTACTGCTTATAATATTCAAATATTCCAATAGTTTTATTTCCGTTGTATTTTAAGGATGTACACCTCTGAGGAGCCAACAATTTCTAGAATTAAACTTTTTTCTTAACCTGATTTTTGGGTTTATAGGACTGTAAAAAAATAATTGGTGAAGAAAAAATCATATGGTGGTGCACATATTTTTCTTCTACGGCCATTTGAAATTAACAAATTCTAATGATTTTCCCACTTTTCATCAATTTTTACCCATTTTCGGGCTATTATCATGAAAAAAATCAGTTTCACAATTTATTAAACTTTTTTCATACTTTCAATAAAAATGAAGTGGACCAATCTGAATAAATTTACCTTAAAAAACTATAGGTAATTGCTAATATAAGAAAGTTTTATAACATTTTGTTGCTTTTTCGTGTCAAATTTACCATGCTGTCAATTTTGTAAATTTGGGATTTTTCTCTTTTTTTGGAACACAAAGCATATTATTTCTACTTCTTTGTTATAAATGATTGAAAAAATACATATCTAAGAAATTTAAAAAGAAAAAATTTATATGGAGTGTACATGTTTCTGGTAAAATCATTTCTTGTACCCCATAACCATTTTCTCAACATTTTGGCTAATAAGACTAACTTGATTGGTAATAAAATTTGAAAACTACTTATTGTAAATGCACAATTTTTTCACAGAGTTAAGTTTGATTATAATATTTTTTGAATTCATTGATATTTTCCACTTGTATCACATGTTTTGGAAATAATGCCAGAACGAGGTCTCAACGAGACTGAAACGTCAGAAGAATACATCCTTAATAGATCTAGACCATTGATAGATAAATTGGAAATTTTATGGTTTTATAATAGACAAATTTAAGAACGTTAAAACCTATATCACAAGATCTGTGAAATTGACACTGAATATCTATCATGTCTTGATAATTCCGATGAACATTTTGAGAAAAAGGACGAGATATTCTTTGGCACAACCCTGGCTCTTTGGTTTTGTTCTCAGACACGAGGTTTTACAAAGTCCGAATACCAGCTACAAGCTCTTGAATATCGCGAGTTGAAAAATGTATACTCCATATGTGGGTGAAGTTGGTTGTGGAATATTATTATATTTTCAAAATTCAAATCGTCTTGTTCGTCATAGACTCTGGTACTGAGATGACAGCTGAGGTCAAAATCCAGGTATGTGTTTTATAATGAGGTGGGAGAAGCTATATTTGTAGTTACTTTAATCTCTTGTTCAGGAGGATATATGAATTGGACCCAATCAGAAAAGTTAGGATTGTGAATGAAGAGAATATCCTCAATATTTCTGTATAGGAAATTAAATGATCTAGCTTCTATGATCGTCTTGCCTTTTAAACGTGTCTTAATGAACTCTGGCTCATGTGAAAATTGGAAAAGAATGAGGAGGAGAGGCACATAGTTGGTTCCAATAGGGATTTCCGACAACCTGCTAGAAAATTCTACCTAAAAATTATCAAAAATGTTGTCCATGAGAAACTCCAGAATACTGCTCACTTGTTCTTCGGTGTAGAATGATTTATCCTCGGTTTCATTTTTTACAAAATATACCAAATATTAACTCTAAACGGGTTTTCTGCTTTTCATGTAGTATTGAACAGTAAAGGATGGGAAAATCGATGGTTTTGATAGAATTTATTTCAGAGAAGGATCGATATTAAATATTTTCAAGCAGTTTTTAAAAATCCATATATGGTTAATGACAATACACGAGTAAACAGTATCAACCCATTTCTGTAATCCATCTTTCACTGCTGACTTCATTTGGGTAAATCTAATGAACAATTCCATGGTAGAACATGCAGATGAACCGTAGTTTGTACAGAGTTTTGTCAACTGTAGGTATCCAATATAAACAAGGTAAGTCCTGTTGAGAGTAAGATTTGTTGCTCAATGACATATGCAATCAGATCACGAAGATCTCATCCTTATTTAAAGTTATGTTTTTGTACGTGAGATTACTCGAGTGTTCATTTATTCCTATTTCCTTGATAGGACACTCGTAGTAGTAGGAGTTCAGACAAATCAAAGTATTGTCGGGAAGAGATGACAATCATATGAAAAAACACAATATCATTTATTTTTCAAGCTTCAACCACTCGAAACCGTCTAGACCTAACCATGTTTATCAAGTATCTTTAACGTTTTTCTGTTCAAAACTCTATATTTCCCTATTTTGACAACATAAAACAAACTTTAGTTTCTTATATGTACAAAAATTCGAGTATAAGCTTAACTTTCAAATATACATCAAAAGTAATAAAGGCGACAGTAGTATACCGCTGTTCAAAAGTCATAAATCGATTGAGAGAAACAAATCGGGGTTACAAACTTAAAGGGGCACTAGCTGTCATATTCATGTTCACCGATTTGACTCAAATTCTCATATTTGATTTATAACAATGTAAAATATTTATCCAAACTATTAAAAGTCTAAAATAAAGAATTTACCAGGCATAGGCTCGATAATATGGAGCTTCGTTTCGTGTGTATTTTAGTCTAGACGCCATCTAATTAACTATCGAGTTGACCTCCAAAGACCTCCGATGACCATATAAGCGATGTAAACATAAATATAGGTATAAATAGATTAAGCGAACTCCTGCAATTGGATTTTTCTAGGTCTGTTTAATTTCATATTATAGAATACAAATATATGTTTATCATCGTTTTTACCTGTATAAGAATGATTTTTTTGTGGATCGAATCAGTCAATCAAATGATTTACTTTTGTTTCACTTTCAATGTTGACATTCTTTTCCTTTAAATAACTTTACATGACCAATTCATGCGTTATCCATCGCTAACTAAGGGGTTAACTTGAAGTTCACATGAATATGGATTCAATGAGGTTGAACTATTCACTTGCAAGTGAATAATTCATCATCAATGTTTCTTGGCTTATTTTGACAAAATTGAACCATAGTGTCTGCTAAAAGGGAATAATATTTCACTATTTCACTTTCATTAATGATTGAACAAAACAAATCATATTTTAGATTTTTTATATATCTCGTAGCTAGTGCCCCTTTAAGTATGTAAGTATGGAAAATAATGCTCCATCTCTTTCTGAAATAAGGATCAAAATATTTTCATCCATCGAAAATTCATTGAAAAGAATGTCATCAGGACATTAAAAATACTCTGTCATCCTATTATAACAAATGGTGTAAACGGGGAAAATCTGACAAAAAGTCTCTCGATTCCTATTGGAATAGATTCGTGAATATTGTGGATATTCGCATATCATTATCATTTTGATAATGATTTAGTCATTAAAAAAGGTTAGTAACACGCCAATTTCAATGATAAAACCAAACTTCAAGTATCTATTTAGCAAAGCACGTGTCCACCTACCGATCGACAAAGCGATATAGTGTTGGTGTAGCGTGAATACTTCACAGAAGTTCTTAAGAATGAAAATATAAACTCTTCTACATTCAAGGATATGCGCTCCACATAGAGTCGAATAGTTAACAATCATGTCAACGTCTGCTGTATATTTGTAAGTTAAGCTTAGACTGGAATTTTTGTACATATAAAAAACTAAAGTTTGTTTTTATGTTAATATCAAATTAGGTGATATATAGATTTGAACAGAAGAACGTTAAAGATACTTCATTTTTCATGAATATTTTGTTATGTCAGGGCTTTTTATAATTGACTATACGGTATGTGTTTTGCTCATTATTAAATGCCACACAATGACCTATAGTTGTTTTAATTCACTTCTTTTGAACTCTGTGGATTAGTTATCTCATTGGCAATCATACCACATCTTCATTTGTTTCCCGTGCTACACCTTGAGTTGGACATGGAAATACCGGGTGTCCATCCGGTCTTATTGGAATTCTCATGAGTACAATTTTGCCAGATTTTTATCAAATGTATATCAAAGATTTATATAAGCAATGTCACTGACAAGTTTGAAAATCAGTGCAGATCAAATAATTTCAAAATAGTTTAATATGCATCTTAGAAATATTAATTAAATTGGAAATTACATTGTACTTTTTTTTATTGCCCTTGGATATATAAAATATGTACAACGCAAGGGACATTGGAACTCTGTTCTTTTATTTAATATTGGAAGTGTTTAAGGGTTGGACATATTATATTTGTAAATAATGCTGTGGTATGGAGTCATACAAAATAATGGATTCTGGCTTTAATTTCGAATTTACCCAGAGTAGCACAAAGGCAGGCTTAAGAGGAGTAGGAGCTATTTAGGAACATCTGAGTTCTCTTCGGTTTTTGATAGAGTTGATTTTTCTAAATCTTTGGTCTTCTTTGTAGTGTAATATAGATTGTAAGTTGTAGCTTCATCACTTGTAATAATGCAAGGAAATGGCTGTTTCTTTTTAATTGCAATATTTTTGGCCCTTCTTGATATTTTCATATATTTTAAAAAAAATGAATTATAAGTTCAGTGTTGAGATCTGAAAGCACCTATTCAACAGTGCAAATTGTGCCTGCTCCAAGCCAGAAATCTGATGAGATAATATGATATCTTGATAATTTTGTTTTTTTTAAGACTTAGGTGTTGAGGGAAGATCTTAGGTATTCTAAGACTGGGAACAATATAGAACTTGAAAATTGTATAGACACCAGATAATTGTTGAAGAATGCATATTGTTTTCTAGATGACATGTCTTTAAGTCAGATGTCGAATTACTATCTTTATAATATAAATCAAATACATAACAACAGAAACATAAATAACAAGTTTTAATATGAATAAAAAAATAGCCAAGAAAGAAAAGTGCATCAAATTATAAAAGATAAATTGTTTGAGTATTATTGCATGGTTTTTACTTAAAAGTTAAACATATAATTACATATGGTGTCAGAAAAAAACCAGTGGTTTTATAGATATGCATGAAAATGTGTGCATCTACAATTACAATGTCTGCTTCGTTCTGCACCATATACATGAATCATTCAATATCATTAAAGCAGAAAAAGCAATAGATAACACGAACAAATTATGCAAAGAGAGATATAAGCCTTGATGTAAATCATAAAAACCAAAATAAGTGAAGCAGTAAATACAAGTCGTAGTGACATACATCCTACACTAATTACCATGCTTATATAATAAATATAGACTTAAATGTACACTAGGGAGCAAAAGGTTAATGGGGTCAATAAAGTGGAAAATGTAGGTTGCATAGATTTTTGTTTTTCTGAATATTGACCTTAAATCAAGGATGCATTCTATGCTATTCTTAATAATGATACTTTTCACAAGAACTTAAATATAAACCTGGATTTAAAAATTAACCAAAGACATTGAAAGGAACACATATGCCATGACCTACATTTGTTTGGATACTGACCTTTTCTCAAGGCTGGATTCAAACCCTCATCTACATGATCCTACTTTGTACAGTGTCTCAGAAATGAGCTTCTTTGAAAATTTAACTACAGTAGATGAATGAGACAATATAAGTCCAAGTGAATTTTAGGCAATGTAAAAACCTGGAATGAAATCCAGCCTCTGCATTATGCTCAATTCAAGTTTATCTAATTTTTAATATAACTAAACTGGTATGTTAATTTTCCTGTTTTAAGTTATCGGTAAGAGTATATTCTATAAAAAAAAAAAAAAGCAACAAGTTAAAAATAAACATAAATTAGAAATAGGTAAAACAAACATTCTGACACTTTATAAATAAACCTTTTACTTTTGTAAAATAAAGCTTTTCATATCAATATAATTTTCTGAAGACAACTGTTATCTGAAAGATGGTCTTGATCGGCTGGGAGCTTGTGTAAGTAAAGATGTTTGTATAGCATCGATTACACCAGGCAGTCTGGATATGTTAGTTAACAAATCACCAGCACCATCTCTGCAAGGTCATATAAAATTATGAATCATAAACTAAACTAAACAAAATCAAGGAGTATCAAAAAGTTTCAGTTATGTTACAAAATAGAAGGATGATGATGATGAAACAAAATTTTAAAAATCTTAAAATTGCTATATGTGAATAATTTTTTTGTCTCAACTTTTTCTGATGTCTTTTAGCAGTCTAAAAAAGACAAAATGGGTGTTTTGCGACACAAATTATGGCCTAGTATCTTCAATGATTTTTTTCTATACGTGGTTTAGTTGTAGGTAAAAAAACTTCAAATATCAACCAAAAGTGATGCCATACTTTATCTCTTGAAAAACTTTGTTGTTATATGGATATGTTATTATAACATATTTTTGTACAATAAATATAAACTTAGTTTTTTAGTAATAAAACAATACTGAAATATTCACGCAAGCTTTGTAAATACCTTAAAAGTTCTTTCACTGTATTACTTGGTTTCTTTGACAGTAGATGTAGGACAGCTCTCATTCCATGCATTTTAACAATATTATCTGTAGATTTCAGAAACTTGTACACTATCACAGGTAAATGTTGTAACTTCAAAAATAAAACAGATGTTTCAACAATTGTAATTGACTGTTGTCATTTGAAGTATTTTTACACATAAAAAGATGTTCAACGGTAATATATGCAATGAGACAGCAACCCAAGGGAACAGAAAAAAACATGAAAAACAGATCAACACATTGTCTATAACACAAGTGCCTACGACAAATGTCAAACTCTTAATGGTCTTCATATTTGCCTTTTCCTGTAATGAAAATGATTAATATGCAACATATAGTTAGTGAAGCTGTGATGAGAAAACTAAAGTTATTAATCTTCTCTTGAATTATCACAAGATATATGGACAATTGCTAAGTATTTATAATATGTAAATTCCTGTATTTCAGTAATGACTGATCTCAAAATAAAAAAAAATCAAGCATTGTTTAAAGATTTCATGAGAATTTTGTCATTGCATATACTTGAATCATTGCAATTTTCAGAACATCATCAAAATAAATTGATGACACAGAGATGTGTCTTGCCTGTATGCAGTCAGTCAGGTACCCCAAGACCTCATTGCAAAAATAAGGAGATGTGGTATGATTGCCAATGAGACAACTATCCACCAAAGTCCAAATGAAGTGGATGTAAGCAATTGGTTGTCTTTACTAACTCTAAATAGTTTAATTTATTAGGGAATTAGGTTTTGATGGTAGATCTTTAGCAGTCTCTATTAAGTTTATTTACAACTTTTCTAGACTTACGACAATGAGAGCTTTAAAAATGATATAGACACTTGTTTATTATTTATTCCATTAACTTTTTATCTTGATTCTTGCCTGATTTACCTAGAAACTATGCTTTTTGAGCTTTAAAAGAGCAAGAATTCCTAATTCAGTAAATGTTTTCTAAAAACTACTAGTCGAAAATGCTTTTTTTCAACTTACAATAACAAGTGTTACTGTAGGTCATTTGTAACAAAAGGTGGTATGGTGACAAAAAGTTGCTTACATCTGTGTCAATTGATCTCTAGTGTATAGTTGTCTCATTGGCAATTATACCATATCTTATTATTTCAAATTATTTCCAGCTGATATCTAACTTTCTTTTTGAATTCTTGAGTCACCATTTTAAAGAAATCACATATTTCTTAAAAAGTACAAAATGTAATGAAAATAAACGGTTACTTGGTTTTATTAATTTTCCTTCATTATAAGGTGACCAATTCTTTTACAAAGTTTTATTTTGTTATTCTTTGAACATCTATTGAAGATAATTTTTTCAGATATTTGTATATGTGATACTTAAGTTTAATTTGGAATATTTTGATTTATACATGAATAAATAATTTTGGTCACAATGTGACTTATATCTATGTGAAATATTAGCCACTGGGCATTAAGAAATAACAAAACATCACTGATTAGTTTGTAAATACACTTTCTACAAATTCTATGTTCCAGCAACAATGTTAGTTCCTTAGGATTTCTTTCACCAGAAATTAAGTAAAAGAGTATGTCCAACACTGGTTACATTTTAGAAAAAAACTTGTTTGATTTGAAAATGTATTAAACAAATGTTAAAGATTGATTAGTGTTTTGATAAAGCTATACATACCAACTTGTCTGTATTCTGTGGAAATGCAGCAAAATTAGCTATTCCTCTTGAAATCTGGACCATTAATGCACTACTTTTGACATCTGATTTAATTATTTCACATAAACATGATAGCAATTCTTGAAGACCTCCCTGAAATATACCAATAATTTATACATCAACGAACCCTTTATTTGAAAAGAAAAACATTCTCCCTGAAAAATTTGACTTTTTTCTTCAAAGCATTCTGAATCTAGCATATAAATTCTTACAAGCATTTAACTTTTATTGCTATTATTTACAAATGCTTTTAAATGCACTTTTGAAAACTAAACTCTCCTAACCATAGAATTTTCCAGAATCCTTGATGTGGCAAATATACATACATAGGTATCCTGTTTTGTTTTACCATTGTTGTGAATGTTAAATTATGCGCTGAAATCGTTATATAAATGTAGCATTGATCACAACATATTTGACATTGAATTGACCCATATTTAGAAATATCATTAGACTGTTCAGAAAAATCTAAATAGATATCTATTTAAGACCCTGTTCACACTAGCATTTTTTTAATCGATCTAAATTTGAATCGATCGAAATAAAAAAAGTTAGCGTTCACATCATCTTTAATCATAACGATCTCTATCATTCTAATCTGAACCACCGTGTTCACACTGCAATTAAAAATGCATTTGATATGACCTAATTTACAGTGAAATTGTAAACACTGTGTATAAATAGAAATATTTAATCAAATTAATGTGTTGATACACACGCTTGTAGAAAAATAATGGATGAAGTAATTGTTTCACTTGAATTACAAGTTCAAATGTTGATACCGCTGTTCGTATAGTTTTCGTTAATTTTCATTCCTTTTATGTTGGTCATTCATTTTGTAATAATTTGCACGTGTAATTTTGCCGCCATTCATGCACACATATTATTTTCGTTTCAATTGTACTAGTTAAGATAGATCTCTGCATTCACATTTATTGTAAGATTGGTTCACTTCAGATTGATTCAAACTAAACTACCTCTTTTGGTGTTTTAGTTTAGACCAATTAAAGATCTATTCAATGCGTTCACATTGGGCTTAAATTGATCTAAAGTGAACCGATCTAGTTTAAATCAATCTAAATGTCCAAGTTTGAATGGGGTCTTAGGTGTCCTGAACTAGTTTTTATTGAGATGTCAACTGTCTCCCACATTGATAAAGCTAATTGCTACCTGATCTTCAGAACTTGTAGAAAGGTTTGCCACCAGACAGGTTGCGTTACATAGAATTTGGTCATTCTTAGGTTTACTTCTCATCACTTTCAACATCATTTGTCCTGCCGTAAAATCTTCCTGTAAAGTAATTGTGTTTTGTGAAAACATAGGAAAGACTGACTGATAAAATGTTCTGTATTATAATCAAAACCTTCAAAACCAAATCGCTTGTTACATTTCCTAATTACCAAATTAACAGCTCTTCCATAAGGACAAGATTAATCAAGTTATATTCATACTCTGGAAAGATTGATCGATCTAAATCCAAGAGTATTTTTCCATATCAAACATGTCTAAAGCTAGATGCAATGTAACATAACATAATTGCTATGAAAACATATCATTATATTTGTGTAAATAACTAATGGACAAGCTCAAGATTTAAACTAAAATAAAGAAGCAAACTTTTCTTGTTCCACATTACTTCAAAAAAAAAAATTTCACCTTATTTTTTCTTTTTGATATTTACAATTTCAACACATTTTGGATGCCTTATCAAATTACATGTAGAAAGAATTATTTTATCCTGCCATTATTACCTGAACTATTTTATGTCTGTGCCAATCTGTTCCCATTGACAAGTGTGACAAGGTTTTCAATGAAATTTCCTGCATCTAAAATTAACAAAAAATATATCTGTATTTTTAATTGAATATTTGCACTTGTAGAAACTGTGGAATTGTACATTTGGGAAGATGATGATGTTTACGAGGAGTGGAAAAAATAAATGATGCAATGGAGATTGTTAACCATGCAACATAATGACCAACATGTTATTGTTAAACTAGTATATGCAATATGTAACCTCTTGAATTAAGCAATTTATTAAACAAAGGGCCATAACTCTTATTATAATTAATACAATCAGCTCGACTATTTATCCATCAGTTTCAATTTTTTTTTTATATAAATTTAACTTAATGAAATATAGTAGAAATTCAGATTTATGTAAATTTTTAAAGTCTTGTGAAATATGAGACATCTTTTTAGCCATACAAAAGGCAAAAAAGTATTGTTTCTTCGTATTAAACATAAATAAAGTTTTGTATATATTGCTATATATGTCGTTTAGAGAAATATTCAATTCCAAAAGCTTGTTAAAAAATTCACAAACATCATTTCATTATATGGCAAAACTTAAAACATTGCAAGAGCATCATATTTACAAAAGTACCTAGTACTACAATGCCAAGATTTTATAGCAATATTGCAGGTGTATATTAGGAGGTCTTCATTATTTGTTTGTTTGATATTTATCTTTCATTACATATTTCCTATTTCATGACAGTCAGTATAAAAGGTAAATGGTAATTTAAAACTTGTAAGTCTTGCAAAAGACCAACAAAGTTTGAACACTTTTCATTGCATTAATAGTCAAAGTTATAAGCTGGTAGATAAAACAACCTAAGTCTGTCTCTTGTCTGGAGGATACGTGTAAGTGGTGGTCTTAAATCATATATATAGAAGCTGGGATTCATTTGTCCTTGGACATAATCTGCCCTTCTAGAAGTTTTTAATAAAGTACCACCAATCAGTCTTGTGTAGATCAAATGCACTTCTAGTCTACCAATTTATAAACCTATATCTGTGATGACTCTTTATTGTTAGAATTGTCTATTACATAAGAATATGGCTACATCATACTTGTTTGTCCTCTGAATATTTATATATATATATATATCAGTATATTTTCTGAGTTTTCTATAAATTTAATAAATATAAATTATACCTGTTCATCCTCTGATCCACACAGAAGCAACATATTCCTTAGTATATTCCCAGGGTTGTCCATGATTTTTGTATGTGTATTAGGATTTTCCATGAGTAAGGATAGAGTACTGACAGCTACAAGAGATATGGCTGGTGTTGTCTGGGCCTGGAATAACTTTAATACAGCATCTAACGCACCATCTTGTAAGGCTGGAAAACAGTTTTAATAACTTTGTCTGAAGGACCCGTGAATGTAGTCTGATTAACTTATATACATGTTTTGATGTTAACTAAATGTAATCATTATGGGGTTTTACAAAAAGTATGTCTTTTTAGATTTAGAAATGTTCTTTTTTTTACATCAAAAATAACAAATTGTTTTTGTATGTGTGTTTGTACTTCTATTTATTTGTATTTTTTATATCTGTTACTTTTGGTGCAAATCAGCACCACTCATCTAGGTGAATGGTAGCTGGAATAAACTCTTGCATAAGACATAACTAAGTGACAAAATCATAAAATTAAGCTCATTTTCACCTAATTTTAATGGGAGATTGTTTTACACCCAAGGATTCATTTTGATATAAGTTATATTCATTGTAAGTCATTCAGTTCCTAAAAACTGATCTCAGACATAACATTTATCAAAAGTCACTTAATTTTAAATTGATTCATTTAAATTTTAAAATAAGGTAACTACATTTTGGTCTTAAAATGGATAAAATAGTATAAATAAACTGTTGACACAGAGGTATGTCTCCCTTGTATATAATTTTGTTAGTAAAATGCAAAAATGGTGAAATTTATATAGAAATACTTTAACATGTAAATTATGCAAAATACTTGCAGTCAATTATTCATGACTGAAGGAACAGAGCCAAACTGTTTCTGATATATAAGATATGCCAATGCTAAACTAAATACCATTGACTTATCATAAGTGGTTCCCCTTAAACTGATATAACCATAAACTTTATCATGTAAACTATGCAAAAGTTTCAAAGTCAATAGACCATTACAAATAATCTCCATGGAAATTAATTGTGCCAATGCTTTTACAACTGCATACCCAATATCATTGATTTACCATTAGTGGTTAACATAAAACTGATCTATCACAAAATTTAACAAGTAAACTATGCAAAAGTTTCAAAGTCAATAGATCATGAGGGGGGCGGGGGCAAATAGTATCCATGGAAATGAAATGTGCCAGGGCTTATACAAAATCATACCAATTATCATTGATTTACAATTAGTGGTTCCCTTTAAACCTAATCAAATTGTTGATGTCGCTGCAGAATCCACTGACACCGCCACTACTGCTGGAAACAGAATACCTTAGTCTCGCTTTTTGACTCTATCAAGGAGATGCAATAATATAAATCAAGACTTCATTGTTGTAACAATGTATCAAAAAAAAAATTTATAAAACAAGTCAACTTTTTGAAAGCTTTAAGCATTGTCTCCCTTAGCACATATACTTTTTGTTATCTTACTATATAGCTATGACATTTAATACCCATTATTTTCTTAGAAATGCTATAACTGGATGCAGACACTTCAAATAATTTTCAAACAATGCACGAGGAGGATAATTGTTGTAACTTCCCGTGTTTTACCTTTCATCTTAAATTCATTCAGTTTACAGAAGATCGTTAATGCACTAAGGCTGTCAATAACTGCTTTTTCCTCCGTCACTATATCACAGGCTGAAATCATCCTAAAAATAAAGACATCATACAAAGAGGATGCATTAACGTAAACATATTATACATCCTATTACAGAAAATTAATTTCAACATAATGACAGTACTCCTACAACTATCAATACTTCAGAGTAATTATCTCCTCTTGGATACAGGTTCAATTTGTTTAAGATTATATCAATGAAAGGTTTCCATTGTTTTTTTATTCTTGTCATTCTCACTGATATCATATAAGTCACAAGGTACAAATATATTAAGGATGAATAATTTAGAGGCAAATTTCTTTTTTATAATTATAAAAATTGAAATAACACTTAAAAATTTTTATGTGTCCATATTTCTGGATTTAGCTTCATCAGGAACCCCCAAAGCCTTATATTTTAAAGCCGAGGAAGTATAAGTACCGAAACACTTGAAAACAAGGAATCATTTAAATCTGGAATGATTTTGAATTCTGGAAAATGGAGAAATATATGATGAAGACTAACCCAATTAAGGAGGGTTAGCAATGCATGCATGGCTAAGGAGGGTCAGTTAGTTCATGCTGAAATATCAGTGAAATATAAGAAATAAGAAATTCACATTTTTTTTATTTCATGTTTACTTAATAGTGTTATATCTCGTTTCACTATTTTTAATGTATACCACCTTTGATAAGTGTTTGAATGACGATAAATTTTCACTTCTGTTCTCGTACTATGAACAACAAAATTATTTATTTTAAAAAAAATATTTCCGTACTCCATGTATATCTTACAACAAAATTATTTTTATTTACCTGTGTATGTTATTTTATTTGGCGGCATTTTGTCCAAGATTATGGTTGTCTTTCTGATATTGTTTTACATCTAACCCCCTTGTTTTATTCATTTTGTATTTACATTGTGTCATAGATCGAATTAATTTGTTCAGTGTATGTTCACTTGTTTTTGTTAATATGTCTTTTGATTGAGTTAAGCCATTTCAATTGATATTTTAAAGTGTGTCTTTCTATGTTGTGATTTTACACTATTGTTTCAGGGTAGGATGAAGATTGGCGCCTATTAAAACGTTTAAACCCGCTGCATTTGTTTGCACCTGTCCTAAGTCAGGAACCTGATGTTCAGTGGTTGTCGTTTGTTGATGTGGTTCATAAGTGCTTCTCTTTTCTCGTTTTTTATATAGATTAGACGGTTGGTTTTCCTGTTTGAATGGTTTCACACTAGTCATTTTTTGGGCCCTTTAGCTTGCTGTTCGGTGTGAGCCAAGGCTCCATGTTGAAGGCCGTAGTTTGACCTATAATGGTTTACTTTTACAAATTGTGACTTGGATGGAGAGTTGTCTCATTGGCACTCATACCACATCTTCTTATATCTATCGAGACTAAGAGGTCACAAAGGGATAATCAACAAAGGACAAACTCTAAAACAATATGTTAAGCCATAAATATCACATTTCTACATTTCTTACCAACATAAAGCTTTAATGACACCAACAACAGCTAACATTTGATGTAGTGGCTGGTGTGTTGACAGTATATGTAAGCCTTCAGCTACCAAAGCCTAAATATAAAATTGTTTTGTTGATAAAAAAAAAATTCTCATGCCTAAAAAGGGCTCATCATTTGGCGTCCGTCCTCCGTCATCGTCGTCCTTTGTCATCGTCGTTAACTTTTTACATTTTGAACTTCTTCTAGAGAACCACTGAATGGAATGAAACCAAACATAGCATTATTGTTCCTTATGAGGTGCTGACCAAGTGTTGTTACTGTGTAGCTGATCCATCTTCCAAGATGGCCGCCAGCGGGGGACTTCATTTAACATAGGACCCTATGGACACTACATACATATGTCTTCTTTTAGAGAACCACTGAATGGAATAAAATCAAACATGCGTGATTGTTCCTTATGAGAAGTTGACCAAGTGTTGTTACTTTGAAGCCGATCCATCATCCAAGATGGCCGCCAGAGGGGGACTTAGTTTAACATAGGACCCTATGGGAAATACATACAAATATCTTCTTTTAGAGAACCACTAAACATGCTAAATGGAATGAAAGAAAACATGGCATGAATGTTCCTTATGAGGCGCTGACCAAGTGTTGTAACTTTGTAGGCAATCCATCACCCAAGATGGCCACCAGCAGGGGACTTAGTTTAATATAGAACCCTATGGACAATACATACAAATGTTTTCTTTTAGAGAACCACTGAATGGAATGAAACCAAACATGGCATGAATGTTCCTTATGAGTTGCTGACGAAGTGTTGTTACTTTGAAGCCGATGCATCATCAAAGATGGCCACCAGAGAGGGACTTAGTTTATCATAGGACCCTATGGGAAATACATACAAATGTCTTCTTTTAGAGAATCACTAAATGAAATGAAATAAAACATGGCAAGAATGTTCCTTATGAGGTGCTGACCAAGTGTTGTAACTTTGTAGGCGATCAATCATCCAAGATGGCCACCAGCGAGGACTTAGTTTAACATAGGACCCTATGGGAAATACATACAAATATTTTCTTTTAGAGAACAACTGAATGGAATGATTCCAAACATGGCATAAATGTTCCCAATGAGGTGCTGGCCAAGTGTTGTTACTTTGTAGCCAATCAATCATCCAAGATGGCTGCCATCTGGGAACTTAGTTTAACAATGGACCCTATATAGCTATGTGAAATACATACAAAAGTCTTCTTTTGAAGATCCACTGAATGGAATGAAACCAAACATTACATGAATGTTCCTTATGAGGTGCTGACCAAGTGTTGTTACTTTGTAACAAATACATCAACCAAGATGGCTGCCAACAGGGGAATTAGTTTAACAAAGGACCCTATGGGAAATATATACAAATGTCTTCTTCTAGAAAACCGCTTAATGGATTGAAACCAAGCATGGTATAAATGTTTCTTTTGAGGTGCTGACCAAGTGTTGTTACTTTGTCATTGTCCTTATAGAGTAATTTTCTACAATTTCAATGAATTTATCGGTAATTTCTGTAAACTTTTCAAAAGTCTTCTGCTTTTGATTAAATTACGGGGCCAATATTAAACCAAATTTGGCCTCAATCATTATTAGGGTATCTGTTATGATTTTAATCTATTTTTACATGATTTCCAAAACCAAAGTAAAATCAGGTGAGCGACACAGGGTCTTGGGAGCCTCTAGTTTCCCTCCTCAAAGCTTTTTAATAACTTATGTATTTGTCTACTTCCTTTTCTTTACATTTTTTATATCTTCTTCCATGAATTTTGGTTCAAGTATGTTCATTTATAGCAGTGATGGTATATCAAAACCTAAACCATCAAATGAAGTATTAATGTCCACTAACTATCCAATAGAACATATATTTCTTTTTTACCTTTAGCTCTTAATTGACAGTATTTAAGGGTTACCATATAACAATAATTACTGGTCACCAAGACATACCCTTAAAGCAGCATCCGGTTCCTTTGACATAGAAATCAACATCTGTACACCTCCAAGTTCTACCAACTGTAAGTTAATGGCACAAGTGTGAGCAAAAATCATTTATTATAAACTAAGTAATCATTTAGAAATTTATTTTCAAAACTTTCTTGTTATGGTTAAAACACAATAAAGGAAAGAAAGGGAGAAAATTCTTCACTTTTTATCCGAACTCAACTTAACAAAAAACAAATTGAAAATATGGAAATTTACTTTTTTTGCACTGGCTCTGATGTAGACAATTCAAAATAAAAAAAGACCTTTAAGAATATTTTGATTTTTTTTTAATTTCTGGATAGCATTCAAGGAGGAATGCATGATAGCAATAAATCAAAACAGCATGTCAAAATTATTTGTTGGCTACTTACAATGCTAAAAGTTTCAATCAACAACTACAAATAAAATGGTGGAATTCTATACAAACTAAAAGGTTTGTTTTGATCTTACAAATCATTGAAAACATCCAGTTACGAATAACACAAAATTGTGGCTTAGACAACAAATCTCAAATAATACTTAAGCATTTCAAGATAAACTGTGCACTTTTCACCTCTAAATTCTCAATTTCTAATCATTCATCTTGCTTAATGGCAACCTGGGATACATATTCTATATTACAAACTGTAAAATAAGTATGAAGGATGCTAGTGTGTGTTGATGATATTGTATATTTTACTCTTAGATAATCTACTTGTCTACCTTTGATTAAAATCATTTTTCATAAAAAATAGTGGAAAGGTAATGTAGCTATGTGGTTAATTTAATAGGTTTTATAATACAAATACTTTTAAGTCAGTTGAAAATCCTATATATCCTATAACAAACAGCAGAACTAAAAATACAATGCACTTTTTTTTATGAAAACCCAATGATTTTGTTCCACAAAACATTCCATTTCTACTCACACCATGAGGTATTTTACAAGTCTCATCAACATGAACTTTGACCTCAGCTGAGATATTCATACCTTACATAATCCTTTTTCTTCTTTACACATACTAACAATAGCTTTAACAGCTTCAAACTTAAAGGACTAAAATAAAAGATAAATTACAAATTAGAAACTCTTCAAATAAAAATTAAGATATTTTAACAAATGGCTCCTAGTAGCATGACTTGCTCACCTTGCAAATATGCCCTACTGACAGGGCTTCCAAAACGGTCATATATTCCGGACTTGACCGAAACTTTCATAAAAAGACCGGCTGCTCTCAGCCTCAAACGGTCAAATAGAATTGGTGTGCCACATTTTGTTATTCAAGGCATTTTCATGAAACGGTCATTTCAATTTTTACCAACTATCGATCGATAAAAATGTCCGTTTGGGGCTTTGGGCATGTCCGTTTGGGCATTTTAGTTTATAATTGTGGCAATCTATTTCACAAAGATATTTCGGTCATAATTGGGTTTAATAAAACAGAAGCAGCATATTTCAGATACTTTGAAGTGTCTCAGTTAGTCTAATCCTCTGGGTACATAAATGTACGGCTTGGTCTTTAGCTTGTGTACATCAATAAAAAGTAGAAAAAACACGTTTTCTTTTATTTAAATAACAACAAGCTGTCAAACAATTATCCCTTCAATAAGTTATATTGAAGCCATAAATCATTCACTGATTACAGGTTTGTTACCTTTGATGAGGTGTCCTTAGCTTATCTTTATCAATAGAATTAATGATGCATAACAATGTACATAAAGGTAATCCGGTAAACGAGGTCAAACATGTAAGCGTGTATGGAACAACATCCTATTTAATTACGCTTTATAGATATTATTTTAAATGAGCATTCAGTTTTAAAAGTATCCTGATATTTAAAAGTTATTCTTCAAATAAGGATATTTATAAATGAATAAGTATGATATATATTATTTTATTTAACACTGTACATCGTGTTAAATACTGGGGTACTCTCAAGGGGAAAATTTACTAAAATATATAGGAAAAACCAATGGACAAATTTCAGTCAATAAATGATTTAACTAAGTTAAATGGTGCCGTGATCACTTCTAAATTATATCAAGAGAACAATGCCTGCTCCGAATTTATTCAGACAATTTCCGATGTTATAGAGAAAGAGGTGATGTCCGACGTAAAGTTAAGTCCCGCCGTGGGAATTATTATCGACTAAGGTGTTGTCTAGGTATTGACGCTTTAGATCAACTTATGAGGATAAGCTTAGTAGGTGTAGATGTTAAAGACTTTGACCCTGTTCCTGCTATCCGCAAATGGCAATCCGTTCGTAACCGCCATGTTTATCAGAACAATGCATTTAGCAAGCTCATGAATGTAAAATCTTTAATTAGACTAAATGAACTCTAATCTTGTGCTGTGATCTGTGCTTCTTTTCAATGTGCTCATTGTAATATTTATTGCGTGTGTTTGTCAGCATTGTGCTCTTCTGACATTTTATTGTTGTTATATGCTTACATAAAATATCATGTTGTTATTCATTAAATTATTTATCAACTGAGTATGTTTTTATTTATTCCTTATTTTCTAAATCAGGTTGGGAAATTGTACAAAGAAAAATGTTATCACTGTTCAGTAGATTTTACACGGTTTAAAACAATATCCTTCATCGGGCCTCCTCAATGTTATCTATAAATACCGCATCAGTTGTAAAAGTCACGTGGTCAGGTAATCAATACACAAAAAGAAAAGTATCACGTGTATTGATGATCAAGTTGTACTGCAATTAAAGCCAACATCAACAGTTTCAAATAAGATGGCCTTAATTTACAAAGTGTTAAGTACTCACAGAGAGAAGATAGATTATATAAACAGAAACAAAAACATGAGAACAGTCAGGTACTGAAGCTGATTGATGCAATGATGGTTACTGTATTACGATACACAGAAAAATGACACAATACCGAGGATAATATTTTATTTATTTTTAGAATGAAGAAAACAAAACAGTTATAAATAATTTTATTGCATATAACACTACTAATTATTTAGACACATATATCAATTTATGCATCCTCTCAGTTACATTTAAGTATCCAGCTGATCATTGACCGTCAAAAATATTTCTTTGAAAAATGTCCGGCTGTCGTCAGGAAATTTTGGAAGCCCTGCCTACTGATATTCTTTTCCATACTTTTTATCCAAAAACAAATTATCTATTTAATAAATATTTCACAGATTTGCCTTTTTATCCAAAATATTTAACCACAAGCGATAGTGAAGAGTAAAATATCGGCATAAAGAGACAACCCATAGTAAAATAAATATAAATTTAAGCCCCTAGAAATTATATCTATTATAGTAGGACAAAGACAGCAATTCTTTTGAATCAAAGGTGAAGGCAAATATCTGCTGTTCCTGTGATTGAACACACTATTAATATTGACATAAAAGACAAAAAAAACTGAATTAGTTACATGTTAAAGGATTTACAATAACACAGATTGACCTCAAGTGTCTCATTCATAACAAGCATAAACGTTCAAGTGATTGGAACAGCCAAATCAAATCATGATGTTGCTGATCAGCTGATATACAATATATTCAGATTTTACCAGGGATATGTATGCTCAAAGCTTTTGAAGAACTTCAAATTATAATTTCAAATATGCAAATATTTAAGAGCATTCAGAATGAAACAAATTAAGACAATCAAGTTTTTTCTTCAGATCTCAATATAATGAATTGACTTCTGTAAAAGTTCAGATCTACACTGTGTATTAAAGTAATAAATTGTTGACTTCAGATCTACATTATGTACATAATAAACTGTTGACACAGAGATATGTCTCTCCTGTTTATGTTATGTTGATACTACAATGCTAAAGTTGAAATCAAAATTGCATCACTTTAATATGTTAACTATCATATCCAATAGACCATGAATTTGGGAAGGGGAAAAATAATTTCTAAAGAAATAATAATGTGCAACTACTTCTACTATTGCATACTAAATATCATACATTACGGACCTAATCATAAACATTGCAAAACTGTCACAGGCAACAGACTGGGACAGATATTATCTCCATTGAAATGACATGTGCCAAGGTTAATAAAACTCAATACCAAATATCATTGACTTACCATATATAGCTGATTCCCCTCAAACTGACATACTCACACACATCAACATGTAAAAGAATGCTAAAGTTTACTAGACTAAGTAAAATTCTCCTATAGGACAACAAATCTCACAAACCCTCTGAGTAAAGCTAACTTGTCAGAATGACTGACGTTGACTAATGATAGTTAAACATTTTTCTGCAGGACAACAAATTTCACAAACCCTCTGAGTGTAGCTAACTTGTCAGAATGATTGACATTGACTTATGATAGTTAAACATTTTTCTGCAGGACAACAAATTTTACAAACCCTCTGAGTGTAGCTTACTGGCCAGAGTGATTGACCTTGACTTATGATAGTTAAACATTTTGCTGCAGGACAACAAATCTCACAAACCCTCTTTTAGTGTAGCTAACTTACCAAAATGGTTGACCTTGACTTAGTTACACATTCTGCTGCAGGACGACAAATCTCACAAACTCTCTCCGGGTCTTCACACCTAAGCTGTGGTAACGGCATCTATAAGATAGCAGACACTGAATAACACAATTAATATAGCTATTCTTAAAATGTTTTAAAACTAAAAAGTCTATATATTCATGAGCTTCAAAATTGAATATTTCCGATTCTAAATTCTAATAAAATATGAATTAATTTTTTCAACTACATGGAAGTTTAAGATAGAATCTAATGGATATAGCAATTTGTAAATATTCCCATGGACCTGAAAAAAAACCACTCAAATTTATTTGTTTAGAATGAGAAAGATGTTATCCTTTCTGCATTTTCTCTTTTTTTTCTTAACAGTGTTTGATTCTTCAGTCAGGGGACTTATTGAAATAAGTGATTTTTAAATCACTTATTTAAGTAGCAAATTCGAAGTTTTGTCACAAATTGTGATTTTGTAGTTTTACCAAAATTTTAAACACATAGGTTTAGATAATATCTTTTCATTAGTAAAATTGAAAAAAAATGAACTTTTTGCTTCTTTTAAGCAGCAAGGTTTATGCTTTTGATGCAATCATTTAGCTGCAAATTCTATTTTAGTTGAAAAAATGCTATAAACATGGCTTTACATAATGGACTGATACTTTCTTAACAGATTTTTCCCAGCAGTGGGAGTATTTTTCCTGTAAAATTCAAGGTTTCATCTTATAGATTATGTAATAAAATTCTACTGTTTGCCATCAAAATTTCACTGTTCGGGGGTGTTGAAATTAGTGGGGGTAATTAAAATAATGATACTTAAAGAAGTGATTTTTTGGAAGGAAATTGAGGTATGATACTTTAACAAGTGATTTTTATGTCATTATCCTAGATTTAGTACAAGGTCATCACCTGACATGACCCGGTCATCCTATCAACACAGATGTTGGTTCTGATAATTTTAGCAACATAATTAGTCCCTGGATCATTAGTATTCTATATTTAAAGCTACAAAAAAATTAAATCACTCAGTTTAGTGATTAATTTGTACTACTTAAATAGGTGATTATTAAAGAAAGACAACTCTTACTTCCAACCTTTATGGACATAATGATACTTGAATCAGTGATTTAGAAAATCACTCATTTAAGTAAGTCCCCTGACTGTTCTTTATTAAGTTTTGGGAAAGAATATAGTTTGTCTGTCTTTCTATCATCCATTTGAAAACAAATGAATTCTTGGTGATTATCAGCTTAAGTTTTCTTTGTCTTTGACAAATGATCTAATCTGCTGAGTTATAAACACTATTTAAAATGTATAAATGTTTTTACACATTGTCACTTGGATGGAGAGTTGTCTCATTGGCACTCATATCACATCTTCTTATTTCTATTGTACATTAATTGTTTATTAATTCTCGTTTGAATTGCTTTACATTTGTCATTTGGGGACAGGGCCTTTTATAGCTTACAATGTGGTAAGGGTATGCTTGTGTCGACGGTCGTAAGGTGATCTATAGTTGTTAACTTCTATGTCATTTGGTTTCTGGTGGAGAGTTGTCTCATTAACAATCATACCACATCTCTTATTTACATACATGTAAAGGAATACACATTCTTTTTTTAAACTGACAAAACTGTGCATCAATGCTCTATCTACCTTTTCTTTACAACATTTGCTGCATAAGATTCTGCCACACATTCGGCAATGATGTTTTCTTCGCAGCTGGTTAAATTTGTTCTGACATAAGACACAGTTTGAAGCTTCGTCATCCGACATCCATCTGAAACATTGAATAAAATACTTGTAGGTAAAACATTAACAGACACAAAAGTTGCCTACAGTACAGTTTGAAGCAACATCATAAGACATCCATCTTAAACATTTAATAAAATAATACTTATAGGTAATCAATAAATACTGACACAACTAATTCATTTCACTTATTTCTGTGTTACTGTTTTTTCTATGAATTAAGACACTGGGACAGTTAGGTTATCTTATCAACATACATGACTTATTTACTTATATACACACATGTTGTACTAGTGGTTTTTTTTTATCTTTAATACTGTCATGACTGTTATCATATAAATATGTGTTTCTTGTACTGATTCTGAGTGTATGATTGTTCTTTTATGTACCAGTTGTCATTCCACTGATTGAAATATTTTTACAGGGAAATTTGAGATCCCCAAAAAAATATTTCAACCAGCCACACATTCATGTGCTTAGCTGTACCAGGAACCTCATTATCAGCTGGTTTTTTTTATATCATAATGTTTCTTTTAAGTTGGTGTTGATGACAGATATTTGATGGCTTCTGTTAAAACTAAATTTTTCATACATGGGCCAGATGATTCAGAGTTTGACATACTGTTTATTAGGCACATGATAATTGTTGTTGAAGACTATATGTTGACCTCTAGATACCGTTTGGCTAAGTTGTGTCATTCTGTTGTTGTCTCATTAATGTATACCCCACAGCTCTTTTTATTGAAAATCAGCCTGATCAGAGTTGTTTTTTAATTGTTTTAATACTTACTTTAAATAAAACAAATATGAACAGCAATAACTGTCCTTTCCTTGAATTTAGTTATTTAAGTTTTACACAGGAAACTTTAGACAAAAATTTACAACAAAATTGACGATTTTCCTTTCGACAAATCTGGGAATATTATACTAACCAGTAAAGTAATCCAAGCCCAATCTTAAGGTATTTATATATCCCATCACTATGCCTGTCTGTAGTGCCGTTTTAGATTTCATTGAATGTAATCTATGTCGTACATTCTGTCGATACCTATATATATTTTGGCAACGTACAAGATCATGTTTTTCTCTGACTGTTAATGACATCTTTACACTAAATCCATGGGATGTTGGATGTGTACTGATTGATATTTTAGTCTTAGAATAGATACATGATTTTCTTTTCAGTTGCTTTTGGCTTTGAACTAGCTGTCAGTAAGGGGACGACCATTTGATATTCTGGGGGGGGCCAGGAGGATTTGTTATGGATCGGTTATTTATTTTTGTAAACTAAGAGGACAGATTATCTATTTTCTGCACTATTGAAGCAAGATTTTTCATTAAAGCAAGGGACTGATTATTTATTTTCACAACTATATTTATAATATTCGAAAACATACAATTTTTAAATTATTTGTTTATTATAAATAATTCATGTATAGTCAAGTCATTATGTACCATTTAATCAGAATTAATTATTATCCTCTGCAGAAATGAATCTTTTTATATCCCCCAATGCATATACATGTATTGCATACATACACAGTATTAAAGTTTGGTTGAAACTAAGGCTCTTCTAAAAGTATTGGCAAACGTGTTTCGCCGAGCGGAGCGAGGCAAAATTTTTTTTAACCGCTGAAGGCCCAAGAAGCTATAGAACAAATGATGCAAAATCATGCCTTCTGGGTGTTCCCAAGACCCTTTCTTAAACTGAAAATGCAAGTTCTGTTTTAATAATTTTATGACAATATTTTGGTCTCAAAGCAAAATCACGTTATAGATTCAGTGTAAGACTCAAGTTTCTAGGAACAACATCAAAAGACAAATATGCATGATATTAAAAGCAAAAATGTAATTCACATAGTTAAGTCTGTGGCTGCTGTGTTTTTTTAAACTCATGATCAAGTTAATAATAAAATTACTAAATTACAAAATGAATGCAACACTAACAGAATACAGAAGGGCAATCAATGAACAAAAGACAAATAAATAAGAAATATTGATCCCGAAAAATCAGGGGCTACGTCTGAGGGAGAACAGAACTTGCTTCTTGCAAGGCACTCACGGTGAACACAATTTGATATGGAGACAAGCGTTTGGTTTTGAAATTTCCTACATGAGGCATTTGTCTCAATGTAGTTACGGCCCTGATTTAATAAAAGTGAGGTAAGTGTTCCTGAGACAATTAACCTCAAGTTAAATGAAACCAATTTTCTGACATTTCAAGTATATTTAAATAATATTTATACTTTTATTATTAAAAGATATGGGAAGTGTTTCCCGATTTTTTTTTTTGGAAAAAAGATTAATTTATGAAGAATCTGGTGCCATCTCATACTTTCGATTAGACCTGCTGAGTTATTTATTTTCAATACATTGCAAGTCAGGTCATTTATTTTCAAACTACCACAGAACAAACCATTTATTTTTGTGATTATCAAGGCTGAGTTATTTATTTTCAAAATCCTCCTGGCCCCCCCCAGAATATCAAATGGTCGTCCCCTAACTGCAAGTTCTCTCACATCTGCACTTTGTGTCTTTAGTGTTATTGTTAGTTGTTTTTGTACTTTGTATTGATCTGATGAGTTAAGCTTTTTTCAACTGATTTTTACAGTTTGTTTTCTGTTCTGCTGTTACACCCCTTTCCCATTGTAGGGGAGGGTTGGTCAGCCTGAAAACATGTTTAACCCTGCTACAATCTGTATGTCCATGTCCCAAGTCTGGAGCCTGTAATTCAGTGATGTCGTTTGTTTTTTTGTTAATTAGTACATAAATCAGCCTGTTGATGTTCTCGTTTTAATTTATTTATGTTTTATCATTTTGGGGCCTTTTATAGCTTGATATGCGGTTTGGGTTGAATTCTTGAAGGCCGTACGGTGACCTATAGTTGCTAACTTCTACATCATTTGGTCTCTAGTGGAGAGTTGTCTCATTGGCAATAATAGCACATCTCCTTGATTTTATAATGTTTCTTTTTCTTGTTCTTTTCCTCCCCTTTGATGTATAATTTGTAAATAAATATACGATAAAAAATAATTGCTAGAGGTAACTATTCTTTATATAGCAAAATCACATGCATTGTACATGCCATGAAGACATGGTCAGGATGACCCTTATATGTCAAAGAATGACAATAAACGTTGATGTAGACTTCCTACTAGTCCTGAAGTATATTCCTGTCATTTGAACATCTCAGAATCTATACATGATCTTTTGAATAAAACCTTTCATATACATTATTATAAAAAGACTATAAATCTTTAATAATCAATGTACATGTAAAGGTTATCAATTAGGTAAAATGAAATACAACTGTTCTCTATGTGAATGATTCATAAATGAAGTTGTGGGGTATACATGTATGACATTAAAATAGCAACCTTATCACTCAAATAATCAAAAGGCATAAAGAATCTTAAATTATTTATTGTTATATTTCTGAAAGATATTTTTCATTTTGTGGATACATTTCTTTTAATATAGAAATAAAGTCTAATATAAGGCCTTCACAAACACAGATCCTTGAATTGGTGTTTGGGGAGGCTCCTTAGAATTAGGAAATTGGAGGACCTGATATTGACAAAAAATTGGCTGTGATTTTACCTTCGTTTCAATTGTTTTTTATAGGGGTCAGCCTGAATCTCCTCCTGCTTCAGAACCCATTTGATTGTTCACTTCTTTATACTTAGGTCTTTTATGAATACATGTAGTTGTCTCATTGGCAATCATACCACATTTAATTTGTCAATATAATTAAAATTAGATCTCTAAAAATTATTCCTCCCTACTTTGCATTATGAATAAAGCTTTAATTGTGGGTCTAATATTAATCAGATTGCTAATATGTATATCTAGTCAGCTGACTAAACAATTTCCCATTAATTATTAAGGGATTTCTTAGCTTGTTTTTTAAATTTGTTATTTATACACCAAAAATGTTTGAAGAGGTTGTCATACTACAATGTATTTCTTTCAATGTAAAAAAGGAGGGAGGGTCCTCTGAAACCTCATCCTTACAAAATTTACAATGAAGCTTAGCAAATAGCAAAATCACAAATAAAACTATTAATAGACTTGAATAAAGTATAGCATTTCAAAAAAGATAATAAAAACACCCTTTTTTCTGTTTTCGAACAACTTTGAGCAGTTTCCCTATCTATATAGTAATCTCGGATTCGCGGATTGTACATTCACTTGTGAAGCTCGACATCTACCAAAATTAAGACAAAATGCAACCCGTTATCTATGACTCGACTGTCAGTATATGAACAGAAAAGTAAAATTCTGACATTGATAGGTACGATCTATGGTCTCAGTGTTAAACAAATTACCTTGCCTTTGCTAATATAAAATTTGGATAACCAAATGTCTCTTGCAAACCTTCTACCGTAGCAGGATATATATCCAAACCTTCAAGCTTGACAGGTCGGATACTTCCCATTTTCAGTTTCAAATTATTTCGAAACTACATATCTAGATCATGCGATCCGTCTCGTTCTAATCTTAAACAGATAAATAAACTTCTTGAAAATCTTGATAAGTTGAAGTCCCCGCCTCCTTGTTTACAACGGAAACTCATTTTATAATTTACTTATCGATATCGGAAAATAAAATCCGGAGTTTATATATAGCTCGAGTAATTAGAAGTTCTGACTTTTAAAAAGGAAAACTTTATAGAAATTGTGGTTCGTGGTCTAGTGGTTAAGACCGATGGCTACAGTGCTGAAGGTCCCGAGTTCGATTCTCACTCGAGGTGCTAAAAATATCAGTACATCAGAAGGGTGATTTTCACCCTCTCACACACATCTCTGGTACCCAGACCGGAGTTTAAACTAGAATGGGTACTATGGGGGCCTCGGTTGGTCAAAGTTGCTCCCGACTTTGACCTGGGGATCAATCTGCTGATATCTCTTCGGTTTGTCTGTTCCCGCCGAGCAACTTCGGATGTTGGATTTTTCACATTGTTGAAGGTCGTACGGCTGCCTATAACTGCTTACATCCACTTCATTTGAACTTTGGTGGATAGTTGTCTCATTGGCAATCATACCACATCTCCTTGTTTTTATATTGATAGTTTTGCTGATTTTTTTGTTTACAAATTACTAATCAACTGCTAACAAAGCATACTGCGTTTCTGATTAAGCACCATGATGTGATTTTAAAAACAGTCAAGATAACATGAAAGAGAAAATAGATAAGTTAGAGAAAGAAAAATGTGTGTTGAACGACAAATTTGTTGATATGCAATGCCGTTCGATGAAATACAATCTTATATTCTCCGGGATTGGGGAACATAGAGATGAAGACTGTGAAGACAAACTCCGCCGATTCTTATATCAGGAGATGAGAATTGAACAAAGACTAGAATTTGGCAATGTTCATCGTTTTGGGAAGAGTTACCGGGACAAACCGAGACCGATCATAGCACGATTTTTGTACTTTTCCGAATTAGATATGGTAAAACGTGCCGGAAAAAATCTTAAAGGTACACACTATGGAGTGAACCAGCAATTTCCAGCTGAAATTGAAGAAAAAAGACGGAAACTTTATCCTATCATGAAGGCCGAACGAAAAAATAATTCAAAAGTAGTGCTTATCCGTGACAAACTATATGTTAATGACGAATTAGTGTCAGTTGCCAACGATGAAGCGCCTCGTGAAGAGCCCCGCCAGTCAACTACCAGACCGAAGAAAAGATCGCGAGTGAGTTCTACTCCAGACAGAGAAGGACAGAGTTAGGTCAACCGTGGGAGAGAAAATAACAGTCCAGCTCATTCAACCGATAACAGTACAAACAATTATGTGTTTAATAAAACAATGTTAAAAATACTTACATTAAATGTGTGTGGTCTTAGTAGACGTGTTCAATATCCGGAATTTCTAGATCTTATTAATAATTATGATATTCTTTGTTTTGTAGAGTCAAAAACAGATGATTTAGACGAAATTGATATACCAAATTTTGAAATTAAGATGAAAAATAGATTTCTTTTGCGGAGGGTAAAATCTGGGGGAATAGTATTATGTTTTAAGACACATTTAGCAGATAAGATAAATATGATTGATACAGATAGCAAATATATCATGTGGTTCACAGTTGATAAAGAAATATTTCGTCTAAACCAAAATGTTTTGTTTGGAATTGTGTACATTCCTCCTGAAAATTCATCATATTGTATTGGGGACCCCTATAACGAAATAGAAAATGAGTTTTTGAACTTCTGTTCGCACTATAATTATATTTGTCTTATGGGAGATTTCAATTCTAGAACTAGCCGAGATCCAGATTTTATTGACCTTGATTACGATGAATTCTCAGGAATGTTAGACATTGAAAATACCTGTATCAACGCATTACATAATTTAGGTTTACCCATCCAGAGACAAAGTATGGATATTAAAAAGAATAATTTTGGCAATTATTTATTAGATTTTTGTAAATATAACAATATGCTTATTGTTAATGGTAGACTTGGTGACAACAGTGGACACTTTACTTGCAAAAATGCTAGTGTAGTTGATTATAATATAAGTTCCCCATGTTTTCTCACACTTGTCGAAAATTTCTCTATATTAGAAACGAATACTTTATTTTCGGATATACATAATCCGTTATCATTAACTCTTAAAGCAGATATAATTGAAAATAAAGTGGTTGAAGATGAAACATCGTATGAAAAGATTAAAAACTGGGAGAGTACTAAAACTGCAGACTTTATTGATAATATAGACGGAGAAAGAGTAAACGAAATACTGACTCAACTAGTAAATATGGTTGACAACGCATCAATAAGTGAAACAACCATAAATACCGCAGTAGAGAGTATTAGTAATTTACTAACCGATGCAGCTAAGAGTACTTTCGGCACATATACCCAGCAAAAAGTTCATCCAAATTTACAAAAATATAAGAAAGCATCCAAACCGTGGTTTGACGATGATTGTAAAGAAGCCAGGAAAAATTATAAATCATCAAAAAGAAAGTTGAGAAGAAATCGATCTCAATTTCAGGAGGCCGAAACTAAATCATTAGAGAAAAAATATAAGAGGACTATGGATAAAAGTATGAGAAAACATAGGAAAAAAATTAGAAATAGAATAAATAATTTGAAATCCACTAATCCAAAAGAATATTGGAAAATTTTGAATAGTGGAAAAAAACAGAAAAGCCCTAATATACCTATGAATGTATTGTTAGATTATTTTAAAACATTGAATGCTGGTAGCGCAAATGAAGATGGCGAAAATGTAAACAACCAAAACGACATTGGTAGATTAAACATGTCATTGAATGTACCCATAAATGTAGATGAAATTGAAAAAGCAGTTAAAAATCTGAAAAATAATAAAGCCTCTGGTGACGATGTTATTATAAATGAGTATTTGAAGCATTCATTTCATATTCTATGTAGTATATTAGTAAAGCTGTTTAATATTTTGACAGTGGCATTATTCCCGAGATTTGGTTATTGGGAAATATTATACCATTATATAAAAACAAGGGTGACAAATTGGATCCCAAAAACTTTAGGCCTATCACTATTATTAGTTGCTTTGGTAAATTATTTACCTCTGTTTTGAATACAAGATTAAACAATTTTTCTGATGATTATCAGATAATTTGTGAAAATCAGTCAGGATTTAGAAATGGATATAGTACTACAGATAATTTATTTGTTATTTACATGTTATTTAGCTTAATGAAAAGTAAAAAGAAAAAAATGTATTGTGCTTTTATTGACTTCGCTAAAGCCTTTGATAGTGTATGGAGAAATGGATTGTATCAGAAATTGCTTGGACACGAAATTAATGGTAAAATTTATAACCTAATATTCAATATGTATAGTGGTATTAAATCAAGAATTGTATATAATGGTCAATCATCTGACTATTTTCCTTGTAATATTGGTGTAAGACAAGGAGAAAATCTCCCTCCTTTTTTATTCTCCCTATATCTGAATGATTTGGAATCTTTTTTACAAATGCATGATGTTTTGGGACTAAGCTGTATATCTGAAGAAATTGAGAATGAGATGAATATTTATATTAAGCTTTTTGCTTTATTATATGCAGACGATACTGTTCTATTTGCTGAATCAGTTGAATCTCTTCAGTCTCAACTTAATACATTTAGTGAATATTGTAAACTTTGGAAACTTAGTGTAAATTCTAGTAAAACGAAAATTATGATTTTTTCTAGTGGACGTTTATCGCAAAATCCTCATTTTTATTTTAATAATATTGAATTAGAAGTTGTCAAAGAAATTCCATATTTGGGATTGACTTTTTCGAGGACAGGTAGCTTTGCAAGTACTAAAAAGATATTAGTTACTAAGGCATATCGAGCTATGTACGATGTACTTAAAAAGGGGAGAGTTCATAACCTTTCTGTGAGATGTCAGTATGATTTGTTCGATAAGATAGTGAAGCCTATTTTACTTTATGGGTGTGAAATTTGGGGGTTCAGTAATATAGATATTATAGAGAGAGTACATTTGAAATTTTGCAAGCTACTACTGAACTTGAAGAAGTTGACCCCAAACTTTATGGTTTATGGCGAACTTGGTGTCTATCCCATGGCAGTCTACATTAAACTGCGTATGGTAAATTATTGGTGTAGAATTGTTCACGGCAAAGAAAATAAGTTGTCACACATTTTGTATAAATTTATGTTTTTTAAATATTCACAGAATAATTGTACGTCTGAATGGGTTATTTTTATAAAAAATATTCTTGAAACATGTGGCTATAGTAATATCTGGTTAGCACAAACTGGCTTTAACACAAAATGGCTAAATAATAGTTTAAAACAGAAGTTATTTGACCAATTTCAACAAAACTGGCGTTCAGATATATGTAATTCGTCAAAAGGTTTATCGTACAGATTATATAAGGATAAGTTTGAATTCGAAAAATATTTAGATATATTACCAGATAGAGATAGGGTTATATTTTGTAGATTTAGAACTGGTAATCATAGATTACCAATTGAAACTGGTAGATGGATAGGTTTAGATAGAGAAAGGAGATATTGTAATTTATGTCAATGTCAAGAATTAGGTGACGAATTTCACTTTCTTCTGAATTGTAGATCCCTAGACGACTCAAGAAAACTGTTTTTGGATAATTGTTATTGTAACAGAGTAAATGTAATTAAATTTTGTAAATTATTACAAACAACACATAGAAATAAGTTAAAAAATACATGTAGATTTATAAAGGTTATAAATTCATTAGCAGGTCTTCCTGGTTAGCCTTTGTCTATCTGTTTTTCTATTATAATAACTAAATGATCTTGTATAGTAATTGTAACATTCATATCTTGTCATGTGCACAATTTATTTTGTATACTATGTATTATTATTTCATTCTTTGTACCAATGTGTATACAATGGTTTTAAAGAATAAAATTGTCTTGTCTTGTCTTGTCTAAGGCATAGAACACAAGACAGCATGATATAGCAGGCTGGTTCGTAATTGTCTCAATTAAACAACCGGATTAAGCAGACATTATCTCCGGTACTAACATTCACTGAAATTTCTGAATACCAATTAATCATAACC